TTTGCTAACCTTGGATCACTGCAAGGCCGCGCACCTCATCTACGAGCGGGAAGACGGCAGATTCCACCCCGTAATTAGGAATATCGTCTATCAGAATATCATTTTGCCGAACAGGGACCGAATCGATCCAAGTAACCGAGCAAACTGGTTGTTCGGCCCTGAAGTTCCCGTAGAGCCTGCACCTGCCCACGAAGACCAAGCTGCAGCCGCTGCAGACGATATACAAGAAGAGTTGGATAGTGCTCTGCCTGTCCACGATATCCCTGGATCCTCATCCGCACCTCCTGCTATCAATCTCGAAGACATCCTCCGTGCCCTCCACATGCAAAATCAAATGAATGCGGCGCTTGAAAGGAGGCAAGCTGAGCAGTTTGAGTCTCTGTGCGCCCAAAACGCTCAGATCTTGACTGGGCAGCGAAACATGAATGAGAGGTTGGATGAGGCGCTGTCAGAGCTTAAAGCCTTGAGGATAGATATGAACACCTATGGCTTCCAAGACACCGACGCTGAAGCCACTCCTACCAGACGCTCTCGCACCAGGAGCAGAGGACGGGGTCACCAGTAGTTTGTCTTTCTTTAATTTCTTTGTAATTTGTTATTTTTCTGTTTCATTTCTTTTCCTTTTTGTTTTTGTAATTGTACTTCCCCGCATATATATCGCAACATTGAGGACAATGTCGGATTTTGTGTGAGAGAGGTACCTTTCAATCGTTAATAAAACTAGTAAATTCTTGCGATATGTCTCGATTCAAATTCTTCGCTTTACTTTGCCATACCGAAAATTTTTTATTTTCGCATTAGCCCGACATACCTACTTTAATGAAATCCCAGTTGAGGAATCTGAAAACGATATAACAAGATCGATACGGTTCTGTCACCGTAGACTTCCTGCTTACGCGATCCGTTTCAATAACCATTATACCGATATCTGGAGTTTCAAGTTCTAGAAGTAACCCCTAGTAGTTTATACTAGCAGTCAGCACCGTCTTGACACAAACCACGTGGAGAATCGATGAATATAAGTGTTTGATGCCTGATTCTAAAAATATCCTTCCTATCTCGCTGCTAAAAGAAAAGAAAACTTGTGTACCAAAATATACGGGCACATACAAGAGCTGAGCAAATAATGAAGGAATCCAGTGTTGGTTGGTTCAGAGGTATCTGGTTCTGAACTCGGTAGGGCGTGCTACGGCCCGATCCCCCACAACCTCCAAATTGGATAAAATATGTAGGGTTGCCACATTCATGTACCAGACCCCGTGCTAAAGGATCAAAGTCACTAACCGGTTACTCCACTACGTGCGTGCTAAGGCAAATGGCTTAATGTGATTGCGCCAGAACGAAACCAAGTGAAATAGATACGAGGAACTCCAGGCAGAGTTATAACAGAACTGTTGGATAGCTCGTTTAAAATGGAAGTCTACGAGTAAGCTTATTGCTTGCGTCATTAGCGTATCTTTAGTGTTTTACTCAAGTATTGGCCGAACCAACGAGGATTTCCCGAAACCACTTTAAAAATCCAAGGGTATGCCATGCTTATGCGCTTACCAGAAAACTTGTCCAGCCTTTCAAATGACTATTTGCTTGAGGACAAGCAAAGGTTTAAGTATGGGGGAATTTGATAACGAGAAAATATATCGTATAATTAACATACTTTTTACCAATTTTATATTCCATTAAGTCGTCTAACCCTCGATTATTCCGAGATTATTTGTCTTTTTTGCAGGTATAACACTTGTCGACTCAAACCGATGAAAAAGGACAACATGAAGAAAGCTAGACGAAAAACAAAGAGAAAAAGAATAAAAAAAGTACAAAGTGTGGACTTCTGGATAGGTGACGGTCGTCACTCCCCTGTGACGGGCGTAACACCCCACAACATAACCAAACGCTCGTCACACACACCTGACGAGCGTAAGGCACCACTTCAGCGTGTGACGACCGTCACCCACCTGTGACGACCGTCACGCGCGTAAAGGAGGACGTTACGCATGGCTTGAAGACGTGGGCGTGAAGGGCATACTACTTCTCCCTGTTTCTACTGAATCTCCTATTTTATTGCCACAACTACTACTGCTCCTAGAATTTCTCCACGAAGACTTCATCAAGAATTCAAAATTAAACTGCTAATTTTTCCTGCTATATATATGAGTACCAAGGCACAGTCCAAGGGTCGAAGAATTTTACTCAGAGCAAATATTTCTTTTATTTTTACAGTTATTTCCAATTTGTTTGTTTTGCAATTCTGCTTTCAATTCCTTGTAATTTTCATTCAAGCCTTAGTTTCTATTTTTAAGTGTTAATTCTTCTTACAAGAATTAACACGAATTTCTACTGCAAGTCAAACTCGAAGATTTGGATTACTGTATTCCCTCAAGATTACTATAGCATCTGTAATTCCAGGTTTTTTATATTGCAATTATTATTTATTTAGTTTCTATAATATGCCGTTTATTGACATGAATTATATTCTAAACTTTATTGCTGTTAAGTTAATTATGTCTGGCTAAATTATTAATACCGGTATGTGACCGTAAGAACTGAAAGAATTCAATGATACCTTGGCCAAAAATATTTATAAAACAATTTCTGGTTTCCAATTTCCAATATTAATTTAACTATCCTTGTCACGAGAGTGAGAGGTTAATTAACACGATTTTGCCACGAGAGTGGGAAATTAATTAAGGCCAGAACCTGCATGCGAGAGCTGGGGTTCAACCCAGATAGTGGTAACGAAGCATTGATTTTTAAATACACGAGAGTGTTTTAATAAATTAATTAAATTCAAATTGTTTTCAAAAAGTGTTATTAAATTTAAAGTGCATCCACTAGGTTTAGTAGCATGACTTATTTCATAAACACGAGAGTGTATGTCTCAGGTTTTTAAACAATTAGCTTTTACCGAAATACTTTATAGGCCAAGCGATTCATCGAATTCCCTAAGTCTGATTATCACATACCGGTATAATTAGTACTATTACTTTTAAAACTAAACTGTCTCCCCCAAATATCGAATATTCATCGCTTAGTTAGACAAAACTGTAGCATTAGATCGTATGCGATTGATACACAGTCTCTGTGGGTTCGATAATCTTTTAAAACTAGAACGACTGAACTGTATACTTGCAGTTAGTATCCCGACAGACTTATAAAGTCCCGATCAATTATAATGGATTCTTGATTTGTTTTTGTTATATTGATTTGTGTTAAATTATAATGGTTATAAGATTTAAGTGTTATATAGGTTGGTTCTGATATGCCTTTGTTGGTGTTGTTTCAGGTAGGTGCATATGTAGAAGATATAGAGATAACAAGTTCATTTAGGATTCTCCATTGTTGTTGTTTGTAGAGAAGATGGTAGAGAAGATAACAGCTCTAGAAGATAGTCATGTGTACATTTGGTGCATACTTATTAGATTATAAAGCTATATATATATATATATATATATATATATATATATATATATATATATATATATATATATATATATATATATATATATATATATATATATATATATATATATATATATATATATATATATATATATATATATATATATATATATATATATATATATATATATATATATATATATATATATATATATATATATATATATATATATATATATATTTATGTATATATAAATTTTTGGATTAAAGTTGTATATATAAATATGTAAATTTGGTGCATACTTATTGGATTGAAGCTGCAAATTTATGAAATCTGGTGCAAATTTGAAAGACAACGCTTAAATTTTAAGTGATTATTTATACAGGGTGCTTAAAATATAAGTTGTATATATTAAAAAATCTATATTAGACAGCGCTTTAAACAAAAAAGTGTTGCCTATATTGGGGAATAGAAAGCGCTTTTAAAGAAAGCGCTGCCTAAAAGGGACTTTAGAAAGCGCTGCCTAAAACATAAAAAAATTGAACAAAAATATACATTACACAGTGCTTTTAAAAACGTTGTCTAAAGTGAAAGCGATGCTATAGGCACACTTTAGAAAGCGCTTGTGAAGTATAAAATGCTGCCTAAAAGGGACTTTAGAAAGCGCTTTTAAAGAAAGCACTGCCTAAAACATAAAAAAGTGAACAAAAATATACACTACACAACGATTTTAAAAGTGTTGTCTAAAGTGAAAGCGCTGCTATAGGCACACTTTAGAAAGCACTTCTAATGTAAAAGGCACTACCTATAGGGGCCTTTAGGAAGCCCTTATGGAATAAAGCGATGTCTAAGGGCTACATTAAGCAGCACTTTTACATTGACAAAAAGTGTTGTCTTTACTTACAGCAGTGCAGGAATAGGCATCGCTCTTAAGCGTTGTCTATGGCAAAAAAAATACTGTTTATTCCCTTATATGGCGTAGTGGATGTTGATGTAATATTTTTCAATTCTTAGCCAAATGTAATGTAATGCAATATGTGTTTCTCAAATGTTGTTCAAATGTGTAATTTTGATAAATTTTACTATAATGTTGATCAAATCTATTGTTCAAAAGACCTATAATTTTGTTCAAATTGACTGTAATTATGATTCAAAATGTTGTTCAATAATGTGTTCTAATGTTTTGTTTCAAAAGACCTATAACTTTTGGCAACACATATGACATAGTTTGGCCTTAATTTGTGTTAGTTTAGCCAAAACATATCACATAGTTTGGCCATGACAATGTTCACAATTTGGCATGTGACAGTATATTCAATTTGGTTTGTGACACTCCATTTTATATGGTGATAGTATCACACAACACCATTCAAGTCATAATAATATAATTCATAAATTTTGATGATAGTAAATTCATTACATAACTTTCAAAAGAGTGTATGCTTCAGTCATTACACTACATTGGTCTTAGTACAATTGACACATTGATTCATTCCATTGTTAAATACACAACAAAACATTACAACTGACGTGGTGATTATACAACACCATTTAAATATCTTCAAAACATTCTTCATTGTGTGAGGTCCTTGGAAATGTCTGCCTAACTTTTTGAAGTCTTTGCACATCCAATAACATTTATTGTGGTCTCTTCATCTCCATTAATCACCAATGAATTATCAGGTTCTTTACCAGGTCCAATTATGTCTCTTAATTTAAGAGTCCTTAGTTCGTCACTCTTTCTTGTTACATTTTCCAAGTCAGTTTTTTTCTTTAACTTGTTAGTTGGAATCAATCTTTTAACCTAGGAGGACAAGAAGAAATAGACACAAGTAATAAATGACATAAGTGACAAATAAACAAAAAGAGTAGCCTAAATTTCATATACTCACATGATCACTATTACTTGGCATTAGTTCAGAAAATGTCTCAACTCTTGGTGGTTTGAAGGCTTTGTTAGTACATGCTTTGGGTTGCTTAGCAAAGAAAGTATTGACACCAGATGTAGTTTGCTTTGATGGACTTGGTTTTATTGCACTTGACTTCACAGGTGAAGTGTCAATACTTAATGGTTGAATTTCTAAGACTTCTTCGATACTAAAATTTCTTCCAATGGCTCAACATCCCATTTATAGTACTTGTCAAAGACATTGGCATAAGGTTGATCTATATTGTTAAAAGGTTGATCCACATTGGCAGAAGGTTATTCAACATTTGTATCAGATTGTTCAACATTGGGATGAGATTGTTCGACATTGGTAGAAGGTTGTTCAATATTGTTATGAGATTATTCAATATTGGGATGAGATTGTTCAACATTGGCAGAAGGCTGTTCAACAGTGGTAAAAGGTTGTTCCACATTGGAAAAAGGTCAATCCACGTCAGTTTTTTCTTCATTTTCTGAGGTTTATGTGGCTTTTTATTCTATGTTGTCTTACTTGTGCTAGCATTAACTAAAACCTTAGGTATCCCCCGGTGTAACACATATTAATGTTAGAACAATACCCTTATAAAACACATAATAATTTACACAAAAACACAAGTTGAAGTTAGAGCAATACCCTTTTTGTGTCACATTGGCTTTGATAGTCTGACTGGCCTGTGTAAGCAGATCATGTCTTACATTATCAGGTGGAACAAGCCTAATTTACTTATTTTTCTTACAAGTCCTAGCATTGTGGCCAAGCTCAATGCACTTTTTGTTCCTATGACTAGTGTTGATTCTTTGCAATTTATGCTAGTTTGCCCATCTGGTTCTCTCTTGCAAATTTTATGGGCCTGCTCGAGCCACGCTTGTACATGGGTGGAAATATCAAAGGATCAGAGGTCCTAGGCCACTTGTTTTGTCCATTTAAAGGAGTGATCACTTTACTATGGCATTTTTTATGTGTTCCTGTGACAAAATTCATCAACATATTTTATGGGGTCATATACTTTCCTATAGATTGTAGTCACACGCACATGTTATCTCCACCAAGTCTTAGTAATTACATGTGTAGATTTGTTTTGCCAAATCCACTACAAAACTATCAGTAAAGAGGACATGTGTGACTTGAAAAGTTAACCTACCTACATATGTTGCAGTCTAACTAGCATTTTTTTTTCAATTTCTCTATCTAATCTCCTAAGTGGTTTAGACATGATTTTTCCCTTATACTTATCTACCTTTTCCCTAAATGTTGCAAACCAAATTACACTAGGTTTATCATCACAACCATCATCATCTCCCCACTATCAAGTTCATTAGCCATGTATTCTTGTTCAATAACATGTTATTTACCATCTCATTTGTGATAAATGTGTTATTTGATGGTTCACTTAATCTTTCATCACAATTATTTCCAAATGCGAACATAGATAACTCCGCAACATCACTATCATCCCTAAAAGGTTTCAAATGTTCTTCAAAGCTACCACCCTCATGTTTCCACGATATTTCAAATGTTCTTCAAACTCCACGAGAAGAATGTTTCTAAAAAAAGAACCAGTAATGTTGCTTTCATCGGAGGGACCACCATTCCAACAAAGAATCATGCACGCACGCGGAGGGTTCACCACAACAACGCACGAGTTGTAACTTGTGTTGTTTGAAGTTCTAGGGTAAGGTAGAAGATGGTGTTTCGTTACTTAAAGTTAGGGCTGCCAATAAACCAAACCAACTTGAAAATAGTTCAAAACTCGATTCGACAATTAAATCATTGAACTAGGTTCATGAATCAAATGAGTTGAATATGAGCTAAAAATTAAGTTTGTTAAGTAAATGAGGTAAACTTGAACTATACATAGTTCGACTCGTAATGTTCATGAATCAACTCGATTATATATGAGATAAATTATATTTTCTTTAAGAGTAGGTTTAAAGATCTGCTCTAAATCTTAGACATATATTTTCTTTTAATCTAACATTTTTAATTGATACTTTACATTCTCAAGTGAACAAAATATTTTTAAAAATAATTATACAAATAAAATCAACATCGTATAAATTCCAAATTTATCTTATTTTTATATTTTTATTTAAAAAAATATTAATTTAAAATATCAAATAAATACATAAAAATAGACTTTAAAATGACTTTTAAGTCCGTGACATAAGCGAGTTGAACTTAACGAGATGAACCTAACGAGTTGAGCTGAGTTGTTCGTGAACTTTTAGTGAATTGAGTTTGAGCTGGAAAAAAAGTTCATGACGAACTTGAACTGATATTTGAGTTGAACCAATTCTTAACGAGTCGAGCCGAACTGAGGCGAGTTCGACTCGATTCGACTTATTTCCAGCCCTACTTAAAGTGAATCCCAATTTGTGACCTTCACACTCACTAAATACAACTTACAAATCTCACGCTGGCAATTCAATTTAAAAAAATCCACATATGCAACGCCACTAAGCCTGAATTAATGGAAACTAACGGGAGGAATCAAATATATGAACAAAAAAGTTTAAAAGAACTATTGTTTGAAAAAAAATATTTAAAGAGACTAAAAATAAAATATGATATATTTAAACGGACTAAAAATATATTTAATCCAAAATAGAATAAGAAAAAGTTGAAAAAACATAATAATATAATTTTTTCGCTTTAATATATTTTATTATTAAGCGTTAATAACATTTTTTTGTTAAACACAACAATTATTTTATTATAAAATGAGTTTTAAAACAGATTATATAAATTTTTTGTTTTAACATATCTTTCTATTAATTATCAACAAATTTAATGTATTTAGTAAATATGTGCATAGAATTAAAATAAAATTTATAATTTTCATAAAAAATGTAAACAAGTTTACTAAATACTTCAATGCTTGAATGGTCCAGTCGAAATTCAATCAATGCATGTTTGTCCTAATTAATGCTTTCTACCTTCCCAATTCCAACCTTTCAGATTCCGGCCAAATTCAATTGATTCCACTATAATCGAAAGAGACGAGGGCTTAAACATGTTTCATTCGGTGATGAGAGAAAAGAAAAGAAGAAAAATCGTGAGACTAGAGATTTGAGAGTGATAAGCATGTAATGGATAACAAGAGGAAGCAGAGGAATTAAGCTTAAGAGGACAAATAATTTAAGAAAAAATAAATTATAATTAAAGACCATCATTCATATATCCTTCTGATCATTAATTTAATTAAATAATTATTTTGAGATATTCTAAATAATAATAATAATTAATGAAGAATAAAGTTTTATTTATTGACATTTTTCTTTAAAAACATGTAAATAAAAATATACTATATACAAATGATGTTTTTGAAATATCAATAAATCAAATCTATTAACTTATTATCTTAAATACGTGTAAAGATATGAAATCTTATAATAAGAGAAAACACAAATTTTAAAATTTTACTCTCTGTTCTCAAATAACTTTTATATATAAAAAATTAAAAAGAGTAATTAATTTAGTATAGTATTAAAAGTAGATAGAGAGTATATACAAGATGAAATTTTATTTCTTTAATTTATTGTGTTGAATTTTAATAATTGAGAAATTAATTAAATGAAGAGAGTAAATACAAAGAGATTATATACATATGATTTTTCGATTAATTCTTTATTTTTACCTATTTTTGAAATGATCAAATATTCATTTTTAAAGAATATAATTTATATTAATGAGATGATTATTTTTTTTGAAATATTCTAAAAGAAAATTTGAATAATTAATTACTTTTAAATAAATTATTAAATATCTATAAAATTAGAATTAGTATCAGTTATAAATTCAATTTTACAAAATTATATAATATTGGAATTGAGAGATTTTTATCAATTTCAACGTAGGAGTACTTATTTTGTAACCACTATTTAAATATAATTACTTCTTTTGTAACAACTAATATTTTCCGTAAAAAAAATATTCATATCCTTTTAAATCATTATTATGATTATTTATTATATTCAATTAATATATATATATATATATATATATATATATATATATATATATATATATATATATATATATATATATATATATATATATATATATATATATATATATATATATATATATATATATATATATATATATATATATAATTTATTATTCTTGAATAGTAAGAAAACTTGCTTTCAAAACAAATATATTTTTCAAATAAATTAAGTGAGTTAATATATTGATTATATTTTTTCAATATTAATAAATAAAATAATAAAATTGATTGAATTTTTTATTAAATATGTGAAAATATCTGAGAGTTTATGATAAGAACAAATATATATTTTAAAGGTTTTCTCTCTTCAGTAGAAACTCTTTAAATTAACACTCGGTAAATTAATAAGCTCTCTAAAATAATAAATTTGTCTGGTCCCGACTTGGACCAATATAAAAATTGAAAAACTCGATAAAATAATAAAATAATAATCGTTCGAGAGATCCCTTTATAATTTTCGGTCCCAAGAAAATCATAAATTAATAATTTATAGAAACTGAATATATATATATATATATATATATATTACACCCTATTGTCATAAGTGTTTCCTTTCGCGTAACATACTACGCCAAATAAGCTATTTAATAGCGCTTTTTTTTGTTTTTGATAGCGCTTAAAAGTGCTATTAACCGCGCCACTATTGTAAATATTTCTTATTTAATAGCACTTTAAAAGCGCTATTAAAGTACCAATTTATAATAGCGTTTTAATTAAAGTGCTATCAAAGTCAGTATTTTGCATGTTTTTTGTTTGTTTTTTTATAGCACTCTAAACAAAAAGCGCTAATATATAACATATGTTTGATAGCGCTTTCAAATAAAGTGCTAATAAATGGTACATATTTGGTACAATATTTTTAATAAGTACAGTACAATATTTTTTCTTACACAATCATTTTTTTTGGTGTAAATATAAAATAACTATATTCAATTCAACACAAATAACGCTTTAAGTTACTCATTGCATATATATTATGATCCATCAAATACCAAATAACATTTTAAATTACCAAATCCTATTGTTTCCAAATATCATAACATATAGAATATTAAGAGGGCGTTTGCATAGCCAAATTTGTAGATGCCCATCTATGAGTACTTCAATCCAAATCCAAAAACATACAATCAAATTCTCTAAACAAAACACCAAAAAAATAAGAAAGGATAACAAAACAATCCCATGTAGTAACCACCTTCATGATCCAAAAGCGTTGAACTCATAGAATGTTGCCAAATGATCCAGGGTTGCAAGAACCAATTACCTCGGGAATGTTGCCAAATGATCCAGGGTTGCAAGAACCTTTATCACTAGGTAGTCGACTCTCAGCTACTTTCTTGATTCTCATCACTAACTTTCTGCATTTATTATAAAAAATGCATCCCACAACAATATCACTAATACTATAATCATGCAAAACTTTAAGGATCCATATCCAAGTGATAAAAGTATTACCTGAAACTTTGCAGTCATATGTTGGGCTACAAATTTATCCCAATCATCTTGTTTTATACAAAAAGAATATTTGGTCGGACGATGTTTAACAAAAGCATCTAACTCCTGAAGATGGCTTGCCTTGAATAATCTTGGAAGCAGTTTCTCTCTTAGCATTATGAGAAGGAAGAAAGGTACTGGAAACAATATTCCACCAATAGGTATCCATGTTAAACCATAGCACAGAAAAAAGTATAGAAGCTGTAAAGCTGTAAATCCAGCTATTGTCTTGAATGGTACTGACTCCACAAACGACGAATGAGTGCCTTCCAAAACTCTGCACATATAAGTTATAAGTTCATGCAGAGGTTATGAAAATAATCTGAAAACAGTTTTATGGATTAATATTTAAGGATACTTACTTGTACTGCCTTTTCGGGGTGATGAAAAGAAGCAAAATTCTCTCAAAAAATTGATTCCCTGGAAGACTATCAATTGCCATGTAAGCAAAATATCCCCAAAGAACTGAGGTAGGTATCCTTTTGATAAGAGATGTAGCTAATAGTAATAAGGCAACAAAGACAGATTGCAATAAGTTGCTCAATCTTTGCTCGTTAACTCGAACAGGCAAATACGCATCTATATGTTTTACAGGATCAAACTTTTCCTTTGTACCAGGATTAGTATTCATTACAGCATCCTTCAAATTCTCCAACTCTCTAGCCTACACCAAATGATAAAAAGAAATATGATCTTTCTTTTATATGTATACACATAGATACAACTTTTTGTCAAGCCAACAATACTTACCGTGGGCACTGCATCCATTTCTATGAAAACGGAGCGCATCGTTCCGTATAATTCAGCGTTCGTCCCTTGGTGCCTAATGCATTCCTTGGCACCTTTCACCACCTTCTTTCGAATCATCTGTGAATTTGACAAAGTATTTTAGTTGATATTTTAGACTTCAGGACTGTCTGGATTGACTTATTTGAACTTAACTATTGGGTAAACATTTGTGATGTTACAGCCTTATTGCAAAATATGATACTGACCTGCCTCCGAAGAATTGCTAAACTCTTTGTATGCATAGGAGACTGAGGAAGGACTCCATTTGATGGAGGAAGACCGAGAAGACCGCAAATCAAAGTCTAAAGGATCATAAGAGTAAGCATGTCAGAAAACTTTAAGATATGGAATTTACATAAAACAAGACTCACACAACACTATAACACACCATTATTCCAAGGAGAAAAACATCATAGTGGTATGCAGATGGTTTTTGAAGGTTGAACTCCTTCTGTTGAGCCATCTTGGAAGCTACACTATGATCAAAAAAGTATAAACCTGCTATCATCATTGCCGGAATAAATGCTCCGTAGATATACAACAATGGTACATTTACCATATCCTGCCGTTTGCATTCAGTAGTAGCTTTAGATGGATTTTACGACTTTTGCATAACACGAAAATGAAGACTATTACAAGATGAGAATCAATACCTTCATTATTGTCCAATGGTAGAAAGATGCAGGATCCCAAGGAAGTGGACAAAACAACCTTCTAAGAACAGTAGGTGGAACTTTGCCTGGCACAGCATAAGATATTACAGTCCAAAGCACTACCATCATTGGAACACCATAATCTGCAACCAAGGCTCGTATGCCCCCTGCAAACGCGGAAACTCAAAAAACAGTGACATTGCAAGTGAAATTTTAAGATGCATACCACAAATTAAAGCATTGAAGTACTAGATATTTGGATTTTAGAGTGATTTACCTGTTCCGTATCGCCATTTTCTTGCTTTTCTGCTTAACATGGCAGTGAAAATTAACCCGAAAAAGAAAATGACCGAAAGTAATCCATTTATATACCGCAAATGAAATTGATATTCCTCTAACAAGGGATCTGCAGCCTTTGGTGTCTTGAACTCAGTTAGGAGTCCCTAATGGATCAGAAACACTGTGAAGTTAAAATTCACTTTCCATTTTACTATGAAAAGTTAGCTAGCTATATCTATATCTATATGATATATCCATATATACATACATACATACCTCTACAGCCTGTTGAAAGAAAAGCACAGTAATTAGCATGCCAAATAATTCTTCTGCAATCCTAGTAAACCTACTTATAATCGTGCACGCGTTGAAAATTGCCAGTAGAATCAGCAACAATGTTGTCCAAACACAGACCCTGCAACAAATATAACCATCTAATCATATGTGATATATATAATGGATTAGTGAGAAACAGGACAGTCTTAAGGCTCTGTGTGTAGTGTGACAAATCAAACAGGGACCATATTTCATTATGGTTTAACCGTGACAAATATTTTGTTAGACCCTTTTTAGCCACAGTTTAAACGTATCAAATTTTGGGCCATATGTGAAAGCCAAAATATATCTATATATATACTTACCAAGCAGCCCAAGCCAAGAAAAGCTGAGCACCTAACTCTGGTGTTTTTGCGCAAAAATTGTATAGATAGGTGTACATGAGACAAGTTGGTTCAGCAACTCCTACAATTAACAAAGGTTGACCACCAAATATTGAGTGGATAATTCCACAAATAGCAGTTGATGCCAATGTTTCAACTGTGCTCAAGCTTCCACCTGTAAAGGTCCATAGAGAAGCATCCATGAGAATATTGTCATGACTAATGAAATGGTCCATAGCATGAATAAGCTTAAAGGTAACAAGGACTTTTTTGCTATCAAGCTGGATTTATCTAAGGCCTATGACATGAGTTGGAGCTTTATCAAAAAGGTTATGCAGCAGGTTGGCATACCTGAGAAGATCAATCAGATTATCTTGCATTGCATATCAACTGTCAAGATAAATGTGTTGTGGCAAGGTCAAAAGGGAACCTACTTTGAAACTCTTTAAGGGCTAAGACAAGGTGATCCTATTTCACCTTATCAATTTATGCTCTGTATGGACAAGTTGTCCCATATGATCTCTGACAAGGTGAAAGAAGGCTCTTGGTGTGGTGTCAAAACAGGTAAAACAAGGCCAAATATCACCCACCTTATGTTTTCTATTGACATTATCCTGTTTGGAAGAGCTGCTGAGAACCAAATGCAGTGTATTTTGAATGTGCTAGAAGATTTTTGCAGCAGGTCTGGTCAAAGAATTAACTTTGAGAAATCTAGTATTATGTTCTCTAACAACACCCCTGCTCATACTAGAAGAAAGATCATTGCCATGTGTAAGATCAAAGAATCTAAGAGTCTAGGAACATATCTTGGTGTGTCTTTAACTGGTACAAGTCCTGAAGTTAGAGACTACCAATTCCTTATTGATAACATTAACAACAAGCTTGCAGGCTGGTCTCAAATACAACTCTTTCCACCGTGTAATCTCTCTCAACATTGATATTTACGGTTAACTAGGACTAGAAATTGAAAATTGCACACAACTTCAACACATAGACCTTAGTTAAAACTAATTCAATGGCCACCATGAAATGAGATGTTTTTTCTGTACAACTTGAAAACTATCTATAATATATAGTATCTACAATGAAAATTACATCAAGTTAAAACAAGTACCTTCATCAGTTCATCGTCATAAGGTGCATCCGGTGCTGTAATTCTTGTAATCTGAGTGAGACAAGCTGTAACAGAAATCTTAACATCCTCGTCTGCGTGTCTCAAAAGTTGATCAGAAATCAATGTCTTCATTGGAAGTACAAGTGATCCTTGAATTTTCTTGGGTGGATCATGATCCAAGATTGATAATATCAGCTCCAATTTCTAAAAGTTTGAATCACCAAATACAAGGGGGAAAAATCAGAATTCAATCAGTCTTATAAGAACAGAAGCACAGGATTACATATTCAAGATATACAATTGAATTCAACAAATCCAGCAGAAACATAAACATATATCAATAGATATGAAAATTAGTAGAGAGAACATAAGATCAATTTGTAAAACACAAATCTAGAATATAGATATGTTAGAACAGAAACCCTAGCTCAAAAGAATCTGATACAAAAAGCGCAAACAAATAACGAAATTTGATCACAGAGTTCGGCCAAGTGTACCTGCATTTACCAAATAAAATACTAGAATTGGTTTATATCATTACCCTAAATCATACCTATCAGCAAACTATGAGTAATAACCAACAAGACACAAAATTGAGCAAAGCAGGAAGATGAATTCAGCAAAATTCATGACACAAAAATGAAGCAGAAATGAGATAGGTTACATCAAGTAATTGAAGAAGCTTATCAACTGAAGAAGTCAAGTTTTTGGATAGCTGTCTTCCAACATGTCTCAGCCAATTCACTGTATCATCATCAATCAAAACAATGCTATCAGTAGAACAAGCCATGTTTTGCTCACAATTACAGCACACAAAACCCTAAAAATCATCAATATACAACTCTACAAAACAACAGAAGCCTTATCACTCAAACTAGAACAAACTCTAATGACCTATCAAATTTTGTCTTCAACACTCTTTCTTTCGGTGACTTAACTCCATTCACAACATTCAACTCAATCTCACTCACAGCCAAATCAATTCTACTTAACTTCTCATTCTTTGGTATCCCCAAGAAAGTAACCTTTTCAATGATCCATTTTTGGTCCAAAGCAAATTTTCCATTTGTAATATTTGATCTTACAGAAACACTATTGTTATGAAATTCACTATAAAATCTAACAAATGCCCACTGCTCTTTCTCTTCTATATCAACAGCCTCACCATCATCCAAATAAACCTGTCCATAACTATTTCCATTTCCATTAAAAACAATCACAAGTTGGAATGCGGTGTTCCTGGCCGCTTCCGTTGTCAATTTAATTAACACAAAATCTGTAATCTGTAATCTAGTCAATTTAAAAATCAAAAGATGCGCGAATGAGTAGTGTTAGCAAAAAGCAATAAAATTAACACAAAATAGAAGTAATCAGTGCACTAATACTAGTTAATAATCCTAGATCACAAAAACAATGAAGTCGATGAACAAAAGAAAAAGGGTTCAAAATTTCAAACCAAGTACAAGAAGCCCTTATATCAGTGATGCACAAGGGAAAGGCTGCATATGAGCACAATAGCATAGACAGCACAATCCATGAAGACAGCATCAGCCACAGTCTTCAGCACCATTCCAATTTCCAATGTTTTTGCAAGCTGTGCATATTGATCAGAAGAATCAGCGCTGGCGCTGGCACTGGCGCTGTTCCGTCTCCTCCTCAACCTTTCATTAGAGCCTCTTTGTTTCCCAGAAATAATTTTCGCAACAACAAAAGACGAATTTGTGAGGAGAACCAAGTAAAGTGGTCTAAAGCTTATAATAGTCTTAATCAAAGAGAATCCTAGACAAGAGGCAACAACCAATAAGGCAACTATAATCGAACAACAAAGACGCGTAAACCTTGAGGCATCAACGGCATTCGTCACATCCCTAGGGCTTATGAAATCGAAACTTCTAGGTTCTTCGAGCTGGGAAATTTCATCAGATGAATCTTGATGTGTTGTTGGTGGTTGAGGTTGAAATAGAGGTTGTGATTCTTGTACATGTTCAGGTTCAATTTCAGAATTGGGGAAACTTAAAATCTCACTTTCACTGTGTTGTTTTTCAGGCAAAATTTCGGCATCAACGTGATTCTGCAAAACGGAATTCGGATACTCCTGCTCCTCGTCGTTGGCGTGAGGCAGATCTGAAGAAAAGCAGTTGTAAAATCAAAATTGAATTCTAGGGTTTGTAGATGGATGATTACAGAAGCAATAAGAAGAGAGAAAATTGAAATGAAAGAGAAGAGAAGAGGTAGTTACCGGGAGGAGGGAGGGTTTGGATCCGACCCTGGATGAAGGCAAGACGGTCGGATCCTTGTTGGAGGATTCTTCTTCTTCTCCGGGCGTCTCTCAGGTTGTTTGCTTCTGTCATTTTTTCCCCTTCCTCTTTACTTCAGCTCAGGCTTTGTATTGCCAACTGACTCAAATCCTTGAAATTTTTGTTTCTTTATGGTTTTGAGTTAACTCAATGCTGCTGCTAAAGAAATGTTAACTTTGATCTTAGTTCATTCATTTTTTATATAAATATAGTTTAAGGTTTTTTTAATATTATATATATAACATAGCGCTTTTTAATAAATGCTATTATATAGGTAGTCAAATAATAGCGTTTTATACAAAATGCTATCTTAAAGAAGTTTAATAATAGCGTTCTGGTACAAAGTGCTATCAAAATTACATAGTCTGTATTATATAATAGCGCCCGATTAAAAAGTGCTATGATAAATGTGTTTTTTCCATTTTAATAGCATTTTTTTAAAAGTACTATTAAATTAGGTGATACAAAAAATCATTTTTGGCGTAGTACTCTAAAGACATCGTATCATCTTCGTCGTTATCCTCTACATTATTCTCAATGATAGTATCTACAATATCTTCTAAACTTTAAACCTTCGAACATGTTTCATTTTCACCTGGATAGTTCATTAGATTGTCAATGTCCATCTTATTACGATAGCCACATTGATTGATCATAGTCTCGAGGTCTTGAGTTTCTTCATCAAAAGTGGATTCATCCAAATTTCTTACAACGTTACTAACTGACCAAATTTTAGTGCCGGGGCATAGACTAATTTGCCTTTTTGTTTGGTATGTACAATATAATTACTTAAAAACTCTTTAAATTAATAATTATTAATTTATCGATAAATTAATAACTCTTTAAATTAATAAATTTCTCTTGTCCTGACATTATTAATTTAAAGAGTTTTTATTGTATTTTAAAATAACACATAATATTAACAAAAACCAATTATACCTCACACATTTATAATGTGTATGAAAAACACACCTTTCATTTTCATTTGTACTCATTTTTGATATTAATCCTGATTAAGATTAATTAAATATGTTTTTTTAATATCTTAATGAACATTTTAATTGAAAGTTTTTTATTTTTATTTATTGTCCTTCTATTTTTAAATAGAATTGAAATATAGAGTTTTGATTAATTTCTATATATGATTCGCTAATTATCATAAAAGTAATAAGTATGTAATAAATTATAATTGAGAAAAAATTCACATTTTAATGATATTTATATTATATTTTTTATCAATAAAGAAAAAATAAATTAAAATGTATATTTAAAGAAATAACTATAGTACTATATTTAAAAAAAGAAATAACTATAATACTATATTTAAAAAATAACTATAGTACTATAACTTGATTTTTTTGTTGACTATTACATAAATAATCAAAATATAATAAAGTGTTCTTTATTATATTTTTATAAAATATATATTATTCGTTATTCTTATATTTTTCTTTTTTACTTTGATTTTTTTGATATAAAATTAATTTTGCATGATTAATATGAATTAATTATTAATAATTAATAGTGTGATAAAAATGAAAATAACGTATTAAATTTGTTAAGGGAATTTGTTAAGGGAATGAAATTAAACATTATGAAGAAAAAATTACATTAAAATTTATAACTTTAATTTAAATTATAATTGGAAATTCTACTAAATTGAAAATTTAGTACAATGAATAGTTTATAAATTAAATATATTATTAAACACATCAAACATTTTTATAAGTATTTATTATAAATCAATTAAAAATGAATTTTTGGAAACGTGGGGTAGGTTAAATCTTTTTTTCTTCGGCAATTGAAATAAATTAAAAAATGAGTTAATTAAATATATTTAAAACATTAATTTTATGGGATACATTTAAAATATTAATGAATTAGTTCAATTTTATTTTTGTTTTTAAAATTTGCTTTTGAATTAGAACGTAATTTTTTTTACCACTTTTATAATAATTAATTAAATCTA